AAAAAACAAAAATAAAAGAACATACCCAGTAAAGGTAATAACCCCCGAAAATATATTATGTCTCAAAACGTTATCATTTTGGTGTAAAATTTGTTTCTTAATAACTAAAAAAAATTAAAGTAAACTATTTTTATTTAAACCCTTTTTACCCATACATATTGCAAAAAAGGGCCTTTTTCATTGAAAAGCCTCTGTAACAATTTAAACTGCATAAACTATAAAAAATGCTTAAAACGATAAATTGGCAAAATTTTGACTACACCATGCCTCTTAACAGCATCTAAATTTTCGTAAATTTTCCTGTTACCTGGAAAGGGGGGGACGCTCAAAATTTCCAAAAATCACTATTTGCATTTTTTTTTTTCCATAAAACGATTTCAAAGGCTAAATTTTCTCAATAAATTTGAATAGAGAAAAGGGGTTTTCAGCTTTCGGTTACTTTTCCCCAAAAGTCGCCCTGGGGCCCTTTTTAGCCTGTCACATGCCAAAATTTTCTTGGCGATGAGGGGGGACTCCCTCCCCCTTAAACCCCTTTTTCACAATAAATTTTTTTAACTATAAAAAAATTGTTCAATCCACTAACATTCCAGGAAATAAATATCTGTAATAAAAAAAACCAACATTATCAAATTAAAATTTGAACAGTTTGTGATCTTATCGATTTTCCGTAAAGCTATAAATTCTTGGTAAAATATCCCCTTTTTCACTAATGTTTTTGTAAAAAATAAATTTGCACTAATAAATAAGGGGGAATGATATGAAAAAGCGATGCTGTTTATTTAATTTTGATCATATTGTCATTTATTAACCGTCTGCATTTAACATTGTTTATGTCGTAAATCCGTTAACAATAGTTTTCGATTCAATTGCAAACAAAAGCATCAACGTCATCTTGCGTGAGATATTTAAGCAATATTATCATTACTGCATTTATTGAATGAAGTGATAAGTATAAATAAATATCTTCATCCTCATCTTGTTTAAAATTATTACATGCAATTCAACCACCTCATTTAATTGAATATGTCATCAAAGTTTTCGGAAAAATGCAGAACAAAATCTACACTCCATTTGCTTCGTTTCTTCAATGCAACTGTTTATTAAGTTTGCACTCTTTTGATGCTTGATGTTTTAATTACAAACATGCGAAGATATTTTGGAATAATAAGGAATTTATACTGTGTTGAAAACAAAATTCTATTTTATCTATCACATTGTGTTACTATCATTGTACTCTGTGCAAAACAAAATTCTTCTTTATATCACATTTGTCTTACTATCATATTTGCCTTTGTCTGCTTATATACATAAGAATTTTTACCTCACCGACAACATTGAACAGCACTGTCTGTCAATGAAGATGTGCTTCCACTTTTTCATGGTTGCTTTAAAACTACATTATGTATAAAAATGTACAATGATTTCCTTATAAATTGATGTTTAAAATTTGCATTTTGCATTGAAATAACCTTCCAATTTTTCGAAATAGTCAGTTTTTAGAATATTAGGTGTTATATTATACGAATATTAGAAATTATGGTGCTTTTAATGTTTAATTTATTACATTATAGCTGTTACCATCGAAACACATAACTTTTGTGTTTCCATTGTTTTTGAATGAGATATTTTCCGTCGTTTTGTCAGGATAAAATACTAAAATGATATATCCCTGACAATAATTTATCATTTGTGCTTGCATACGCTTTAATCTGTTCATGAAGTTTAAATACACGCGGCTCTTTTTCTTGTTTGATTTAGCTGGTTTCTCTTTTGAGTTTGAAATTGTTACTTCAAACCTTTACACAACAATATTTAATTAACAATACATAATTAAAAAAAAACATATATCATATTGTGACGAAAACTATGCGTTGACGCGGTTACAATTTAAACAATTTTTGGGGCTTTTTCTAGAGATGACCAGTCAAACAATAAAGAATAGTAGTGGGTTAACTAAAGGCAACTCAACGGGTAAATTAGTCTTTATGTTGTATAACTTATGAAGTATAAAGAATCAGGAATACCAAATTTAATTTACATTGAAATCCTGTTCCTGTTTACTCAAATATTATACAAAAGTGATAATGCAGTATTAAAGCACCAAGTGCATGCATAATGAAAAAAGGTCAAGGTCGGGAAACAAGAATCCAAATCCTTAACGAAAGGACTTTGATTTCAGAATGTTTTGTGCATTAAGGAAATGAAGGAAATCAATGAACTATAATACAGTATGATCCGCTTTACTGATTAATCTTGATATGCAATTAAATAATTCCTAAAGGCAAACAAGGCAAAAACTTTATTATTGGCAAATATAAAACAGTATCAGATCGGTGGTCAAATCGTTGACAATTAGCAACTGCAATGTAAATTTCTTTAGTTTTTTAGAATAGTTTCTTTGAAAGAATAGTAAATTAATGAGTTTGAACTTGAAAAGATATTCTCATCATTATCTGAACATATCAAAACGTATTTAATAGAGAATAAAATGCATTTAATGAAAAATAACAATTGACGAAATTCCACCAGAAACTCTAGTAATTACACAAGTTGCTATTTAGCTTGATATATGATTATTCTTACGATAATTGAATTGACACAAATGCTTAAAGGTACACACTTTTTTTTAATGTATTTGTTGTAATACTGACTCTCCCGCAATATTTATGTTAACAAGATACATATCATGTTATTTTAATACTGATTCTGAAACCTCATTTATTATGCACATGCAATAGTTTTATTACCTCGCGTAGTCATGTTTTCATGATCTGAGTGAATCAATGAAATTGAAAATTGAATTGAATTGGTCTGCGGCACATTTGAATTGTGAAACCTATCAATTATTTGTAAATATAGTCTATATCACATTATTAATTTTAGCTACATGTACTATAAAATAAATTATATGTTAGGCCAGACATTTATTATTGATAATCATTTTCTTAATAAATAAAGTTGCATACCTAAGTGTCACTGGTACTCATTTTCATAGACATTAACTATTCGTTGATAAATATGATTTTACATAATCAATAATCAACTGTAAAAATGGTGAAGATACTTTTTGCTTTGTAAATGAGACCCTATTTCGGGCCAAAACTTGTGTCAAAGAATACAAGAACTGTCGTTGGAAACAGACAAATGATTTCCCTGTTAAGGAAGGGACAATGACATTGACTTGCATCAAGGGCATGATTACTTTAAAAATGTGATTCAATAATATGGAAACTATAACAAATATTTTTCTTATATTCTCAGTAAGCCCAATATTTTTTAAAAACAATAGGTGGTAGAATGACAAAAACATGACTAGATACAGTCATTATTGTAGTATTTTGACATTGCATAACCATCATCTTTGTAAACCTGGCCTTTGAATGTGATATGTTTTCCTAATGTGCCACAGAAATATGCCTTGTTATTTAATAACCGATTAAAAGATGATATCATTTATAATCAGATTTAACCATCGATGTTCTTTATAACGTTTATGAAACTTTAAACCATAAAAGTCATTGAGTGACCTTTATCTTAAAACAACAAACTCATCACTAATTGTTTAAAAAATACAATACCTTTAAACAAAGTGATTACAAAATGTATAAATGAATGACGCTAAGACATGATTATCAATTCACTGTCTTATCACAAGTTTTTATAGAACATTAAGACTTGCCACCAGTATGCTTCGAGATTTTTGACCGTGCGAACACGTGCACTTACATGGATCGAGGACCGGTTTGGAAAGAAAGTGACTGTGTAAACAGCTCACGACACACTGTCACTATGTCCAAAACATTTATGTATAATGATTTAAAATACATACTGGAATGGCATAATTGTTTACCGGACAGGAGCATTAGTGTACTTTCATTAAAACATATCATGACATTTGATCTACAAGTTTGACATAGACCTTTGTGGTATGGACCTCATTCTTGCGCCCGGCACATTGTCATTATGTTCAACACATTTATGCATAATAAGTTTCAATTACATCAAGGAATGACAGACTCGTTGTTATGACACAAACATCAGTGTACTTTTATACAAATTCGTATCAAATTTGAAATTCCGCTCTGCATGCCAACATTATGTCCAACCCAATTGTGCATATTAATTCTTAAATCCAATCTATTAATGGTTGTATGTTGATCGGACACGAACATCAGTGCGTTCTTATAAAGATTAGTTCTAAAACTTTGAGCTTCAGGCCTTAAAACACCACACTTTCGGGTCAAACGCGCTTTGGGGTCATTTCACTCCATACGCATCATACCTATTTATACAGAGAGGCTACCATCCTATGAGAGAAATTATTGAATATAAAACATTTTTATAATGAATTGTAAATTGCAAATTGCAACCATTAGATGTAGCAAATTTAAATAATCTATCGTCTGCTAAATACATTTCCTTATCTTTCGTTCACAATTGTCATTAACAACGAGATATTATTTTAGAATATCTATAACTTTATGACCCCTAAGTGCGTTTGTGTGCCTAATGTTAAAAAATGCGTATGTACCAAAGTATGCACTTTGGGGTTAAACTTTGACACCAAAGTGCTTTGGACCCCAAAATGCGGTGTAACCGGGCATCAATAACAGAAGACACTGAATTTGTTTTAAACAACAATTGTAAATAAAAATTCTTACATAGCAAAAGGATTATTTCATTTCACATTAAAATATTTTTTTTCTAAACAACGTTTCGTTTAAGTATCAGAATAGTTGTTTTTAAATAATAGTTGCATTAAATATGATAATGTTATTTCATAAAATGAAGAACCATTGTAATAGTAAAGTTATCAATTTCGCCTCCACCTTCTACTCCTCCTACGTCCCCGCCTTCTTCTCGGACCGTGACACGGAAACCCGCCAAGACATTTCCCACATAAATCACTCCTATGTGGTTTGTCCGGGCCACTTTCTTTTTCGTCACATTCGCACTCGTAAACAAATAACAAACAATTAGCACAAACACATTCGCACTCATCGCCATAGAAACCGCAATACTCGCATTCAAATTCACATTCACAATAATAGACGTCCATGCCGCATTCCGGACATTGAAGATTCTGTACTCTGTACGGTCTGTGCCATGTATGGCACAGTTTGCACATTTGTCTGAAATACACCTGAAATATTTTAAAAGTATGTAATTTTCACCAGCTGCAATAAAATTTAAAGTTCTCCATTGTCCGTTTTTTGTGAAAGTTTTAATGGCAAAATGACTGACCTGATATATAATTTTGTCAACATTTTCAAACTTACAAACAAATGATAACAAAAAAGTATATGACGTTTCATATAACTTTCGATTTCTGAAAAAAAAAACACTTTCTTAAAATTTGTTACATAATTAATATTGTTATGCAGGACAATATAAATGTGTCTACGTCTTTTGTAGTTTTTATTGACACAGGTGTATATATACGACATGTTATAGATTGCGTTTAATCAGAATAAACTCTATATATAGAAATGAGAGAATATATACACACATACCACCACATCGATATGCCAGTCCAATTACGGCACAGCGCCTAGCAGAACAGTCATGAAAGCATAGCCACTGCTCATCCACCATCACAAAAATGATGGTTTCAGAACAGCTTTATATACAGTCACAAACTGCACTACACATTGAAACAAGCTCAACATTCACATATATAGAGTTTGTTCTCTGTTATCATATCTCACAAATCAACGATGACATTTTATTGTCTTCTTCACTGATTGGGACCAGAGAACTATATATCTATTTCCGAAAGTCAACTGGATCACGCAAGATCAAGTAGATCCGTAGGATACAATGAATTTAGACAGATAAAGTATATATAAAGTATATATATATATATATATATATATATATATATATATATATATATATATATATTAATTTTATATTGATAATGATAATGACATACCTTATCTGTATTCTTAATACAGTAAACATGAGCACTTGTCCATGAGTTTCCCATCTGACAATCGCAATGGAAAAACCCGAACTTTCTTTCGAGCCGTGGCATTCTGCAACGGTAACCTCGTTCGCCTAACGTTGCATATATTTTGGTTTAGTTCACACTATCTACAATAAGAATTACATGATATAATATCTTAAAAACGGCCTTCTTAAACATTTGTGGCGCAAATTACAACTTATATCAGACATAAAAGCCCATTAATCTAATAACAATACAGTAACTGATCCATTGTTTTGCCATATTAATAACAAAACGCATTTGATTAAAGGTATAGATCAGAGTTTACATATTAAGTTCATAACTCTGAAGACTCAATACTATCAATAGATTTGTTCAACTTATTAGAACATTATTTATTGTAAATCTATGAAACAAACATCGAAAACAGTATGGCAGCTTATTACTAAAATAATACAATGTTAATTTTAACATTTTAGAGTGAATAAGATTTTAAGATTTCAACTCAATTTATATTTCTGATCAGTTTTACAAAAATGCATGTAGTAATGTAAGCAGCGCCGTAATGATGCATTTTCTCAATAGCTTCTTAAACAAAGGTAAAAGATAATAGATCTAAATACATGTACTTACTATTTATTTGTGATCTTCAATATCATCCAAACACATTTGAACCGTAAGGTAGATTTTGTCTTTATTCCAAATCAATCATTATGTTTAATTTATCATTGCAATAAGAAAGCTATCTTAAACGAAATACCAATGCACGTCTCTTAACATTTATACATTGATAATAAGGTTATTCCATATCATGTTACCATTGAAATTTGTTATGATATATACTTTTACCATTATATGCTCAAGTTTAAACCTATTGAAATCTAGATATCGCATTTGGCTAAATATCACGTAAACCCTTTTCATTACAGCTTGACATTTACAAATTTATTTAAACTTCCTTGATTGATATATAGGATCTTGCAGGAAGTGTGTTTTTAATTTCATAGAGTCATATTATATTAAACAAAGTTTTGTTTAACTAATCATTATTACCCGAGGCAACTATACTAAAAATATAACATTCATCTATATTTCTTCATAAAATCAAAAAAGGATAATAAATAAATCGATTTTTTTATAATAACAAAATAAGTTTTTTGGGGAGGTAATTAATAATATTTAATTTGTACTGAAGTTTTGCAAAGATCGTAAACTCTTCAGACCGTCCCTTTGTAAAGCAATAACCTCCTTATTACAAGCAACAGTAACGCTGTAAAGAGGTGGCAATGTATAGTAATCAGGGGGGAGTCATATAGACTCATTCAGTGACCCCGCCATTTTCCTTCTATATTCTATATAAACCTTCTATCTTGGATGGAGTAAAAATCAGTCGCCCTTTGAACCCGCTAGAGAACGACAGGGCGCCGCCATTTTGTCTTGCAGACGACATTTTAGCGTATTTTACCACCATTGTTAAACGGTACAGTACAGAGGGCCTTCACGGCAGTTAACGATTTGATGTTTTTAATTAATCGTCATCTCTTGTTAATAGGCGTTGTAGACGACATTACTTTTATTAGTTTTAAACTCTGACAATATATTATAGCAGACGACGTTTCACTCCCGACATTCGGCTAAAATAATAGTTCTGGCGTTGTGCAGTCGGGTAAGTGGAAACATGTTTACTTATTTAGACCTCTTGACTCTGAGACTCTTGAGCTGTCAACATCGAAATATACACAACACACTTACGAACTTTCGCTATACGTATATGCAGTATTTCGATAGAGCGGAAGTCAGTGCGCGAGCATGCGCTTTGCCATATCTCGTTCAGTTACCGCTCACGTTTTAAACTCGGTTGCTATGAAGCGACACTAAGCGTACATGGCTTTTACTACTAAAATATCAGACAAACACATTAAAACAATACACAAAAACTACACATAGTTGTTTTCTCTATTAATAACTGATAGTCAAACAAATATCTCAATATTCTTACCGATTTAATGTATTGTTTACATGTGATGACAGCAACGCTGTGTGTCAGATTACTTTCGGTTCAGAAAATTCATTTGTTTACCATCAAAACTCATATGTTTACCATAGAAACCATATATAGATAGAAAGCAAATTAAACAAAGGTAAAGAAAAAAATGTCCGTTTCTGAACAAAAAATCGAATAAATAAATACAAAGTCTTTTTAAAAGGTCCCTTCTTTAAGTTCATTTGAAAGGGGAATAATTTGGTTGGATTTTAGACAGGGAAACAGGGAGTTATCTTTCATAGCTAGGGAATATGGCCGACTGAAATCATGCAAGCAAGTTTGTAAGTGCAACAGTACCCTATTATTATTTTTATTATTATTATTATTATTATTATTATTATTTTGATACCGTTAAAACGATTCAGTGTTTACAGCAAAAGACTGCGTGTATTGAAAAGGTAAACCATTTTACTTTATTTTTCACAAGTTTTACACTGATCAACTATTTGATAAAATTACTGTTTATCGGGTTTCATTTTCCTCTCCCGCAAGAATAATACACTGACAGCTAGAGTGGAACTTTAACCTGATCGGGTTTAAGTTTATTTATGAAAAGTAAAACGGCAGACGACAATGTGGTGGGGTTTAAAAAACAAAAACATAAACAAGCCTGTGTTAATATTTATATTTATTTACAATACAAATTATAATATAGTTTTACAACACGCTACACTTAATGTATATGTAAAAGAGACATAAATAGTAAACAAATATTACAAACATTTATTAAGTAAACAGCACTGTTAGCCCATATCACTAACATTAATCAAACTGTTAAATTTACGCGGACTTTATTTCCATAAACTAAATATCGTACAATCGAGCATTTTGATGTAAAGGACATATTTTACAAAAATACAAAAATAAACTTAACATAAAAAACTCATTTGTCGTGGCTTGTAAATTTACTGTAGATCTCTTCTATTCATTAGAAATATAGGTCAGAGAGAGAGAGAGAAAAAACTGTAACAATTCTTCATGTCAATTTTATTTCTTCAGAAAAAAGACATAGATACATATGGCATTCAAACATTTCTCTTTAACAATAGAATAGATAAAAACAGAATCCCTAAAGAAAGCCCAACACGGCAAAATTGAAAATGTTGCAGGCTCGGTTTGATTGAGCCTGTTCATGGACGGTACTGGAAAGTGCAAGTTACCGTCCACGCCCCCTAGCACCGGCTTAAGCAGAATTCAACATTTAAACATGAAATGGTAAAAATTTGAATTTAGAAACATCCGCAGATGTGCTCATACGGCGGTTATCATGGAACCTTCAATGTGACACTTCCGTGCCATTCCATGAAAAGCGGCGTATGGTCCCCAAGTAATAAAAAGCGTGTGCCCTAAACGAGAAAACAATGGGCGGAACTAAATAAAATGGAATTTTGAAAGGGGATCAGAGGTTATGAAGCCTGCGTATCACAGATAAGACGTCAAAAGACAAATTTAAAAAGCAGGCAACATATCCTAAGGGTGATTCAACATTATTCAAGTAGGAATATTGGAACCACCCAACTAGAAAATGCCGAAAAATTGAAACTTAAAATACCACAAGCACAACAATAATGTCGTGCTGAACGATCTTCAAGGATCGAAAATATAACATCATTGATTAAATGTACGGGGAGACTTTTTACAGCCGCCACACGGCACAAATAACACGGATGTGATCATAGAATAGATAGCCATACTACAGTCATACATTTAGATTTTTTATACTCCCCGTAAAATGGGGTGAATATCCATGTTCAATCCGTACAGACGGTACTAGTAGGGAAAAAAGTTGCTAACGGGGTGCAAATACGTTGCAAATACGTTGCTTCTGGGGTTTTAGAGATCAAAGAAGATCAAAGAAAAAAAAACATAATGTCAACTCAGTAGGAACGTCCGAATTCGTGTCCAGCCCATAACTTTGTTATTTGAAGTCGGATTTTAAAACTATTTCACAGAAATGATCTTCATATTGAGACAACGTGTCGCGAGCAACATTTGGGTCGCTACCTTGAAGGTCAAGGTCACATCATGACCTTGCAACAAAATTGAGTCCGGCCCATAACTTTGTTATTTGAAGTCGGATTGTAAAACTTTTTACAGAAATGATCACCATATTGAGACGACGTGTCGCTTGCAACATTTAGGTCATAACCCTGGAGGTCAAGGTCACAGCATGACCTTGCAGCAAAATCGTGTACGGCCCATAACTTCGTTATTGGAAGTCTGATTTTAAAACTATTTCACAGAAATGATAATCATATTGAGACGACGTGTCACATTTAACATTTGGGTCGCTACCTTGAAGGTCAAGGTCACAGCATGACCTTGCAGGAAAATCGTGTCCGGTCCATAACTTCATTATTTGAAGTCGGATTTTAAATCTATTTCACAGAAATGATCACCATATTGCGACGACGTGTCGTACGCTAATTTGGGTCGCTACCTTGAAGGTCCACGTCACAACATGACTTTGCAGCAAAAGCGTCTCCGGCCCATAACTTCGTTATTTGAAGTCGGATTACAGAAATGATCACCATATTGAGACAACATGTCACGCGCAACATTTGGGTCACTACCTTGAAGGTCAAGGTCACAGCATGACCTTGCAGCAAAATCGTGTCCGGCCCATACTTTTGTTACTTGAAGTCGGATATAACATCTATTTCACAGAGATGATCACCATATCGAATCGAAGTGTCACATGCAACATTGGGGATGCTTCCTTGAAGGTCAAGGTCACAGCATGACCTTGCAGCAAAATTGTGTCTGGCCCATAACTTCGTTATTTGAAGTCAGATTTTACCACGTTTTTTACAGAAATGATAACAATATTGAGACAATGTGTCGTGCACAACATTTGGATTGTTTTTACACTTTGAACTTTGTCTGTGACATAACTCTGACACTTCAAGAGATATACCTTCCTGTGTCCAAAACCTATTCGGGGAGCATCACCGATTTAACCGGCTCTTGTCATATCATATCAAATATCCATAACGGAACTAGTTGTAAGTTTCAGATAATACTCTCTTGTCAAAAGCAATTTCATAGTCTTTGGTCTCAGTTGTTGTTACGATATTGCATGTATTTTGATTTCTGATTTTCTCATTTTTATCTATTACCTTAAGACATGTGTTTTGTTCATATCGAGTGGTCATTTGTTATAAAGTGTTGAATGAATATCCAAAGGATTCTTTAAATGTAGAGTAATGCCCCGTATAATGCTCCGTACTTTGTTGGTTCGTTTATTTTTTATGTAAGACAACTACTGCAGTATAAAGCAGACGCCTTTTTCCCGCCGATAATCGTAAGGACTGTCAAAACTTGATATGGCAACAGCCCGCGAAACCCTTCCGCAAATTCGTATAGAATACAATCAGCAATGATCAGCAATCAGGAATCATATTACATTCATGTACGCATTTTGGAACACCTTTTGTGATTTTGCATATTTAAATATTAATTTTCTACTTATCAAAATGATTGTAATGTAACATATATCAGAATCAAAGAAATCATCAGCAACACTATAAAGTAATTACATGATTTAAGGAATGCTTTATTTTAATAGGACATCTGATGGAAGTACCTACTCATAAGAGCAGCCGGCTTAGCATAACAATAATGTGATACAGATGTTATAATTTAGATAATACTTAAGCTATGGTATAAGCCACACGAAAAAAGCCGATTCTTGCGTTTGCATAGTAATTTTACAAATTGCTTAACTATTGATACTGTTAAATCCACTTGAAGTGTTTCCATGAAATAAATATAACCAATATAACTACCAGACATATCAAATTCATTAGCAACAGTTCGTGATCAT